GTGGACCTTTTTCTGTTTTGGGGGGTGCCACTTGTACACTGATGCAGAGAACCAAGTTGAACATGTATTGCTTCAGTGGTGTGTGCATTAATTGGTGTCAGAAAGAAATGGGAAATTTAAGGCAGAATACATGGCTTGGATACTTTTCAGGTGGCTAATGGTGGTGTAGGGGCTACGTTAGGCTGCTAAACCACCAGCTGTTCTGTGGGAGAGAGGAGGAGGCTCTTTGCTGCATAAAGATGTACAGTCTCAGAAGCCCACAGGGCAGTCTGCTTTGTCCCGTGGGCTCTCCGTGAGTGGAGATTGACTGATGGCAGGGAGTTGAACGTGAGAATGTTCTGCCTCACAGTCAGCGTCTTCTCGAGCGGCCACCGTTAGGAAAGGTCAAATCATTGGATGAAATCAGTGGAAATAACTTTTGTCTGGAAGCATTGTTAACCAGTCAGGTGTTAGAAAGGAATTCGACAAGAACATTATTGAGGATCAAGATAATAAGAATACCTTTTATTTGAATCCGTCAGGTGTGATATAAAGCATTTAACATAGTATTTTGTATATAACAACAATATGGCTGTCAGTCTTTTGCTGAGGAGGAAACTGAGGACTGAAAGGGGAAAGTAATCTGACCCAGTTCAAACCATTGATAAGTAGCCGAGATGACACTGGAAAGCCCCAAATCTCCACCTCTTCATTTCTTTATGGCGAGACAAGCCTTTGGCTGCTTAAAAGAAGATACCTTTATCCCTATTCTTTGTTTGTTCCTGCTTTCACTTAATGCCAGGAGCGAGGGAAAGAAGAGAAAGACGTTCTTGGCACAAAGCAAGGATAAAAGACAGTGCATTGATTCCAGAGCACGTCTGAGCTCGGTTCCCATCCATGTACGCAGTGTTGCCCTAGATCATCCTGGGGCATGCTGGGTTATATTTAAGTTGGTGGGCTGGGGGGAAGCACTCTCTTCCTTAGTAACATGGCTGTGTCTCCACTTCCAGGTTCTGAATGCACAGAGGGCAGGGTTCAAAGCAGCCATCGTTCACAATGTTGATTCTCAGGACCTCATTAGCATGGGCTCCAACGACCGTAAGTACAGGTATCACTTGTCTTCTCTCCTGTTGGACAGATCTTTCCAAACAGCAGTAGCAGGGCGCGCCTGCTTTCAGTTTCTGCTTACAAAGCAAAGTTTCTCAGGCGCCAGAAAGAGGATTCGGTCCTTAAGCCTCTTGGAATCATTTTATGCAATGAATCAAGGAGTCAACGTGTCCTTTTCTGAATATTTAGGTGTGTTTTGATATGTTTTCCCTTTAGAAGACGTGTTGACATGTTGAGCACCAAAGCTTTAAACAGAGGTAAACTCACGATTCACTTAGAGATTCACAGCATTACACAGGGAGATAAGTTGACAGTCATTTACCATTCGTTGGAAGCAGTGTCCTAGGTCTGACGTATTATGGGGGAGAGAAGAAAGTATTTTGCTATCTCACACAATGCTTACTAATGTGTGATCCTCTCAGAGCAGTTGGCAGTAGTAGTTGGGCACCATCTAGTTCTTTGGTTCTGAGGATTTGGGAGACTGATGTTTGTAAGGTCCAACAGTCTATTGGACTAATCATTTTCATGTGTCTTTTAATCTGCCACAGATTGGCCATCCTGTGCTAAGCCAGCATGTGGGTCTCGTGCCTATAAATTTTCTCATTCTATGTTCATTCAGTTTCTCCTGTCTGGTTTTGAATTTAGTTCTTCTTCTTTCTGTTGGATGCTGGGGTTTTCAGTATTTTCATCTGTATCTGCTTCACTTGGTTTCTCAGTTTTTTTGGTAGGGGCATGTTTTGCGGTGCCTCACTCAGTTGATTGAGGAACCCCCACATTATGGGCTGGAGTCCTCAAGCCCAGGAACTCATTACCTCAAGGTGTTTGGTTATGTCTAAGATGTTTTTAAAACATTGCCTCCTGTGTGCGCCAACATGTTCATGGATATGTTTGCAGCAAAGATAAACACCAGTGCACAAATACCCTCTGTGAAACTTACACATGTTCGGGGGTGTGCGCCCACCCTCGTCCCATACTTGCCCGCCCCGTGTCCATCTCAGCATCTGCTGGTAGAGCACCACGATTGCAGGACTGTATGTCTGTAACAGCATTGACCTTGGTTCCCTCTAGCTCTTGCAAACCGCCCAGTCTCTTCCCTGAAGCCATCAATATCTCCCAGCTTCCCTCTTAATGGCCTCTCCCTTCACCCAAGTGAACACTGATCTGCCCTAGTCTAAGCTGTAACTCCCCTGCCTTCCTCCCTCTCCCACTCCTCCTAACTATCAAACAAGGTTTCTTCGGGTGAAAACCTTTTATTGACTTTATGGTAGTAGTGATCTCATAAATGAATTGTTCTTTTGTGATCGCCTAATTTCACTCCGTGTCATTTCTCCGAGGTTCATCCATGCTGTGAGGGTTCTGCAGATTCATGCTTGTTCTTCAATGTTCTTTCGTGTTCCATTGTGTGGCTCCACCAATGTGTGTTTGTTCGTTCTTCCACCGCAGGCGCTGAGATCTGCTGCTGTTGTGCGCGGTGCTATGATGAACATGGGTGTGTCGCAGCCTCTTCACGCCGTGGTTCTCATTTCTCTCGGGCATACCCAGTAGAGGGATTGCTGGGTCCTGTGGTACTTGTGTTCCCCGTAGTTGGAGTAAGCGCCGTCCGGCGTGAGACAGTGAGCAGTTTGTACAGTCCCGGCAGCAGCCGGTGTTGCTTTCTGTGTGCTTTTAACTCCACTGTCCACGCGGCCTGCATGGTTTTAGCTGACGGGCCAGAACTGAGTCTCACTGGTTCCCCTGTGCAAAGTAAAGCTTCTCTCAGAACCCTTTCCTTGCCTTTCATTTGGGAAGATTGTGGTGCACTCTGATGATTTTCTTCTGGTCAACTGTTTGAAGGCACATGTTCTCATCTTTCAGAGTATTAGTGAGGTTTCCGTCCAAAATTCCCCAGTGATGTTCTCTCTGCTTTCATCGTGTCTTTCTGTTCTGCAGTTTGAGCACATGTAGCTTACTCCTTGAGAGTCAGTCTCCCACATAATTCTCAGGCTTCCTTCCGTTTTGGGGGTGTTTTTTTATGACGGGGCTTCGTTTTTGATTGTTCCTCCAGCTGATTAGTATTGAGAGATTTCAAGCTCATGAATTTGGCTTTCTATTAATTCAGATCTACTCCTTTGCCCTTTCAACACAGTAGTTCTGTGAAACATTCGTGTTACTCCTCTAGGTTTCTATTTGCTGCTTTTGTAGTTCCAATTTTTCATATTTACTTGGTCAGTTTTTGTATTGTTTTCCTGAATTCTTCTAGTTTTTTCCCCTTTGTTTTCCGTGATTTCATTAATCTTTCTCACAACCCTTTGAAGGAGTTTGAATACCATTCTTTTAAATTCCTTATTAGGTAGTCCAAATGCCTTTATTGCCTTGGAAAGTCTTCTGGCTCTGTATATTAGTCACTTGTTTGAGTCTGTTTTATTTCTTGATGTAAACGGAAATAGCCTGTTGTTTATAAGACATTGTGGTGGTGTTGTCTTTGTATTTATGTAAGCAATATTCCATCCAGACAGAAGCCTACTTTAAGACGACTGCACCCTGTGAGGCTAGCCAGCAAGTCACCCCTCTCTCTCCTTTCTTGCCACCTTTGCTCAGCTTCTCCTGTCAGTTCCCTTCTCTCGCCCTCCTTAGGGAGCGCCTGGTTCCAAGAGTGTCATTTGCATCTGCTTCATGTGTTCGGTCATATCTTTGCTGTAGACCGTCTTCACAGCATACCTGCCCAGTACGTCATCTTGCCGGCTGTCAAACAGGAGAAAACAAATTCAAGAAATTAACTCGGGTAGTGTATTCATGTTTACTCTTTTGGAATGAGTAATTTTTATAAAAATGTTTCTTCCTTGACATTTTATTGTGATTTTGAAAATGAATATTGAGCCCTGGTGGCTCTGTGGGATAAGCCTTGGGCTGCTTACCTTCAGGTTGACTGTTCAAAACCACCAGCCAGTGTTGGGGAGAAAGAGGAGGCTGTCTACTTCTCCAATGATTTGCAGTCTTGGAAACTCCCAGGAGCAGTTCAGTTCCTCTCTGTTCCGTGACTTGGAACCAACTCGGTGGCTGTAGGCTTCAGTTTGCTGTTGTTGGTAATAGTCAAAATTTCTAGATTCCAACCCTAACAACGAAGCTGCACCACAAATTTAGCCTTAGGAAGAAGTGGAAATTTATCCAGCTTCGTAGCCTATGCCCACATTAATTTCTGTCAGCTCCTCGCTCTGGAGAGCTGAGATCTGAAGTGTCATTTTTCAGACTGTTACAGAGGGCTCTCCTCTCACATTCTTTGGTTTGCATTGCGTATGGGAATAATTTATAAAAAAAGCTTTAAAAAAACCTTTTCCATTAAGGATTTGTATGTGTTTGTGTGTGTATATAAGTTTATAAAGTCCATAATAGGGCTAGTGAGAAAATTAAGGTTTGAGAAACACTTTTGTTATCATAAATGTTGTTTCCCAACCACTTTGACAGTTGTGTAAATCTGAAATAGAGAAAATAAACCAGTAGACAATTGAAGTAGATTATAATTGTTTCCCATTACTTATGTTGCTATTATGAAGTTAAATCAATCATACACTTAAGTGTGGGTTTTTAAGAATATTTTTACTATTATATTTACACAGTTGACGTGTTAAAGAAAATTGACATTCCATCAGTTTTTATTGGTGAATCGTCAGCAAATTCCCTGAAAGATGAATTCATATATGAAAAAGGGTAAGTAATGAATATAAGATATCATCAGGTATCGTAAAATCCTTCTTTATCTTAGTGCAGACGTATATCTTGGTGGAAAAAAGGGTTATGTGTTAGAATTGCACTAAATTGCCTCTTTGGTGATTATAAATTGAAAATCTATTCATATTAAGTAGAGTAAGATATTCCCGTTTGCTAATTTTAACAATTTTCAACTTTGTGATTTAGTGGATTCATTATTTAAAAGCAGTGCAGGTTATATTAATATAACATTTCTGATTATTCATCAAAAATAAATTTATTGTAAAGGCACAGAGTGTAAAGCATGAAAGTATTAAATGACTTCTAAAAACACAAAAAGTCAGTTTTCAAATTTAAAAAGTTTGATTTGGAATAAAACTTCCATATGGAAGCTTTCCTCTGCAGAAAAAAAGCTCATTGTAACTAAGATGATTATGGTTTTAATAATGAATAAACACCTGGAAGCAGCAGAAATTAACAAAGATATGGAGAAATTGGGGCCCTTATCGATTGCTGGTTAGACCGTAAAATGGAGACCGGTTTAGAGTTTCCTCAGAAAGTCAAAACACTGAAGTACCATCTGAACCCCCAGTACGTCCTCTCTACGAACGGACACCAGGGACGTAGGTTCAGGTCTGCCAGTGTTCACTGCAGCACTGTTCCCAGTAACACAGAGATGGAAACGACCTGTGTATCCATCCACACATGGATAAATGTGACGTATTAAGAACATTCATACAAGCATTACTGTCCTATAAAGAAAACGGAAATCCTGATATATACAGCAACATCAATTAACTATGAAGTTTTATTCTCAGTGAAACAAATCAGATACTCAAGGACAAATATTGTATAATCAGATTTATATGAAACATCAAAATTATTAGTCGTTCCCAAGGATGGTTAGGGAGAGAACGGGGAATTTGCTATGCGAGGGTCCTGAGCGCCCGTGAAGGCGCAGAGAAAGACGGGAAAGGCTGACGTGAGAGTCGCACATGATGAGCATCACGTCATTGACTCGCGCGCGCCCAGGATGTTCGAGGGTAAATGGATGAATGGTCTTCAAAAAGTCTGTGGAAAAATGAAATGAAAAGATACTGGAGTTTTTCCACAAAAATTTTAAGCCTTATATATTAAGTGTGTGTGTGTGTGTGTGTGTGTAATTTGCTACAATTAAGTGTGTATATATATATACACATACACACACTTAATTGTAGCAAATTGCATATATATATACACTTATTGTAGCAAATTACATATATATATATATGTGTGTAATTTGCTACAATAAAAAAGTTACAGATCTTATTACAAAAGAAGCTTGTAGGCTAAAGATACTTCAAAGCCGAGCTGTCTTGTCTAATACAGAAAACAATACAACTGGTACTTAGGTGCTTCTCTGATGAAGCGTTCCAAAATGTAGTGGGCAAAATAGGCTCTGACTAAAAAGAGCAACATCAGTATTAATGAGAATAGCAGCAAATATCTGTTTGAGCACTAACAAGTGCCAGGTACTGGTAGAGTTCTACATTTGTGATCACTTAATTCTCACAAGCGCCTTTTAGAGATTCTTGCTGTCATCTCTCATATTCAATATTTCTCAAAAAAGAAAACTGGGACAATGGAATCAATTCTAATTATTTAGAAGGAAAAAATACACGATATTTGCGTTTGAAAAGTGTGGAAATAAGAGGATGAGGGTTATGTTTACTGCCTGGTCTTTATTCTCACAGGCTCTTTCAGTTTTGAAAGCACTGTTCACACGTTTTGTGCTCATAGCGTTTTTATTAAGATCATATAATTTTGGATGTTGTATTTAAACAGTAGTAATCCAAGGTGATATTTTGTCAGCCAAGTTGTATAGTTCATCGAGAGGTGATAACTAATACCTTAATATTCTTCGGTTAGAAAAAAATCTGTATACTTTAGTATGTATTTTAAAGAATTTTCTAAAGTATAAAATTCTACCCCCATAAATAAAATGCATATATATTGATAAAATATGTAGAAATTCCCAACTATGAAACATCTGAAATAAAGGAGGTTATGATGCCAAATTCCACCAATGACTGCGGAGACGGGGGTTTTAATTATTTTCTTATTTGAAGCGTACATAAATTGATTATTTACTCATAAGATGGAAGCATACAATATATAATGTGTTCTAGCATGCTTGTGTTATTTAATATTTTACCATTTTCAAGTTAATACAAGTCCACAAAATGCTTTGGGACAAGTCTGTTGTGGAATTAAAACTTGATCAGATGTTCAAAAGTTAAAGGCAGCAACCCATATTCACAAAATCTGCTGTGTCTGTACTGAAAGGGTGAATGTTTTCTCATGTTAGTTCAGTTCAGGCAGACTATCAAATGAATTGCAAACATTTTAAAAAGTGATTTTGGATTTTAGAATTGTACACAGTTCTGCCTTTCAAAATCATCTGTTCATTATGTGTTTATTTATTATTAAAAATATGAAATATTTAAAAGTAGAGACAGATACAATAAGCTTGGATGTACCAATTATTTTGTGACAAAATTATTTACTCCGGCCCAGTTTTGGTCTGGATTTTCCACCCTATCATAGATGACTTAGAAGCAAGTATAGATAGCCTAATATTTCAACTGTAAGTGTCTCAGACTACTATATTGGTTGAAGATAAGATTATAATATGGTAAAAATATAACCACAGAATCCTTATTATGCCCCCTTTAAAATAAGAATGAAAACTTAATTATTCAATATAGAGACATTTCAGTATAAGGACTCCTCGTCTTGATATGCAAGCATATAAAGACAAATTTCCCGACTCTCAAATCTTTTTTCAAAATTGACTTGAGGTTGGAGAAAAGCGTAGCAGTCTGCTTCTATGAAGATGTACGGCCTTGGAAACCCCACGGGCAGGTCTGCTCTATTTGCAGCGTCACTGTGAGTCAGAGTCTACCACCAACACAGGGCTCGGTGCAAATTGGTGTATTTCAGTCAGAATCTAAACACTGTTCATACAGTTCATTTTCTCATTTATCTTAAGTTTCAATTCGAATGGCTCTGGATGGGAAAAGGGTCACTTTTTAATAATGACATTGGGACAGCAGGCATAAACCTCAGCCTCGCATAGAAATCTGTTCATGTCAATCACTGCTTTTAACTAATAATTTTATCCTACCTAATTTTTTCCCTCTGATCAAAACATGATTTTTCCCCTCTACCTAGTTTTCTTTCTCTCTTTGATGACAACATGACTTCCATGGTCAAAGACCTAAATGTAAAACCTAAAAGCCATAAAGATCATAAAAATAAAGAAAATAGGGGCGAACTTGTGAGTGCTTTCTTGTGCAATCCGACGCAACACTGGCCGGTCCCCGCCTTCCTCACTAGGGCTATGGTTAAGCCTGTGTTGGCCTCCACTGGGCCAGTCCATCTCATCAAGGGGCTTCCTCATTGTCCCTGGCTCTACCAAGCTGGGCTCTTTCCCAAGCACTGGGCTCTCCTAGTAGCATGTCCCGAGCACGTGAGTTGACGTCTGGCATCCTCACTTCTCAGGTGCGTTCTGGCTGTGCTGCTTTTTTTGTGTTGTTGTTGTTGTTCTGGCAGCCCCACCTTCTTCCCAGCCCCGTCAGTCAGATACTGTACATTGATTCTTCCGTAGTGTTCTGTATTCATTGTCCGACTTCGCACATGTGTCCCAAGTGACGAAAATATCATGGCCATCAATCCAGTGACTGTCCCTACAGGTGGACCTATCCGGATTTCATATGCAAAAAAGTTAAAAGAACAAAGCAAAACTAGACTAAAGTAAAAAGAATAACAAAGTGAAACAGATACAAACCTCAATCGAAAAGAAGCTGAAAATCTTAAAAAGTAGCACAGGTCGAAATGGATCATGAGGGGAGATCAAATGTTAGAGACAGGAACTGGATTCATGGTTTCTTGGGGGTATGGCAGGGGAGGTTCCGGGGAAATGGGGAACGCATAACGATGTGAACAAGAATGAATAAAATGTTCTAAAACTGACTGTGGTGATGCTTGAACATCTCCTCTTGATGTGATTTAACTGTCGTATGCTGTGTCGAGTATAGGCCAATAAAACTGTTGGGAAAACCAACAGCACCAGAAGTCAGAGTGTCAGAAACCCACAGAGGCAGGTCTACAGGTCCCGTAGGGTTGCTGTGGGCTGGAACCTGCGCGAGGAGGCTGGGCTGGCTTGAGCAGTGGCACTGGGAACTGAAGAAAGAAGTCTTGGCTTGGGTCAGGCGCACCTCAGTTCTCGAAGTGA